TTATACTAATATGCCCTTTAAAGATGCCAGCTGAAACTCCCTCAAAATAATTTCATCATATCCCTTACTATGTTTTTAATATAATTTTAGCTAATTTTGGGTTTCGGGGTTTCGTCATACCCCTCACTATGTTTTAATATAGTTTCGGCTATTTATTAATTGCCTTTTTTGAGTTTCGTCCCTCATCTTTAATGCCCTTAGAAATGAATGTTAATACTACTTCTGACTCCACTTTATTACAAAGTAGTACTTCAAAACAGATTACAAATGACTCTATGCATGCTAACAATAAAAACAATAATATGTTTGATGATACTGGTTTTGATTATATTCTACTTACCGCTGATAAAAAAAACAAAAACAATCTTGGTCTGATAAAATTGAACAAAATGAAAGGTCACATAAACAAGAAAATATGAAGGCTACCTATAATATTATCACTGCTCCTACGCATGTTTCATGACTGATGATGCGTTACATATAAAAAAAAACTATAGCCGAAAAACACACATTTATAAATTCCTTATTAATAAGATATAATGGTTATCAAGGCTTTACCTATATTACTAAATTCAGAAAATTTTCAGTCTATTTCTGATCAATAAAAGAAATTATATATACTATTACAAAAGTATAGGAGATATAACATAATCCTATTTTTACTATTGTTGACCTGCAGTAAAAAAGCTCAAATAAGATGCTAAAAATGAAAGGATTCTTAAAGTATCAAACATTCCCTTATTTGTCAAATCTGATATACTACTTAACTTTTTCTCCAGATATAGAATGATAATCCAATTTTCAATAATTGTCTGAGGTTCTTAGCAGATCGCTTTCATTATATTTGAAAATGCTAACATCATCAAACCATTTTATGACAAACTCTGGTCGGTCTAATTCCTAGAAAATACTCTCAGAATTGAACCTACTGATTTTGACCTAATGCAACTTGTCTTACGCTAACAATATGAATTAAAACTCACTGGTCTTCCTTATAATACTGACGAACAATAGTTAGGCGACTTTCTTATGCATATTAATGCTAGAACGTGTTTTATCTCACGTGATTAACAATACAGACTAATACTATACACTTTTATCAATTTTGCAATCCTCAAGGATCTTGATGATATGGTAACGTAGTCTCAAAAATTCAAAGGAAAAACTTTATACTGAATAGAATCCTTACAGACCACTGTATGACTGTTTCAAACTTATTCTCCATGAAATACCACTTTTAATAAGTTCAGCGATAATACTCCATATATCAATACCCTTAAAATACTTCTCATAAAAATGATGACAAACAACCATCTCCAGTAGCCCCAAATTTTGTTGATGCTTTGAAACTCGTTCAAGAAAGACTTGACAATATAGAAAATAGATTACTCACAATTAGTAATGAAATAGTCTCCATCAAAAATGATATCATTAGAATGAAAAATACATAGGATTTTGACTAAATCGTCTTGAAATTATGCATAATATTGAATATGATAGTAAACATGCTACTAATCCAAACTAAGGCATTGTTTGCATTTGACAATCCATCAAGTCATGCTGCTTTTTCACCAGATGCACTCGTTGCTAAATATATGAATCTTAGCTTTAGAGGAAAGTAACTAAAGATGTACAGTACATATTTTAGTGATGGGATTCACCAAGATATAGTTTTTCCATTAAACCATCAAATTCCTAAGTTATGAGAACAGCCAAAAGGATTAAAATAAGTTCTGATAGAAAGGGATTGTGGCCAAATGAAGGATTAAAATTGGAAGAAGCATGAAAATTAATGAGTGAGTAATCAGACATTTTAGTGCAAAAGGTGTGACTAGAAGAGACTATTGATGCAGCTGGACATCAAATTATATTTTACCCCAAATTTCATTATGAGCTTAATTAACTATATTGAAAACTTTTAGGTTGCAGCCAAAAAATTTAGTTAGCTACATTGTGTTTACTCGTGAACAGGATTACAAGAAACTGTTCCATTAGCCTCTACTGCGTAGGAGAGCGTTTTTCTCTTTTTCTTCTTTACATTTGTATTTCGTCAGAATACTCAGAATATTGCGATACATAGCTTGTGGAAGAAAATCTGTTAGAGCCGGTTAAGGTGGTTGGAAAGGATTAGTCTTAGGAAATTACGTGATTATCGAACACTTACAAGCAAAATCCAATCATATCTTACGAAATAGCATCGTTTCTCCAATTATTTTCAGTACGTATCCTCCGAAGTTCGTTATTTAGGGCCAGGATCGATTTTTCTAGATCATTATTTCTCCTGATCTGATTGTTGCTAAAATAGATGAATGTTTCCCGAAAAAATGATTTTGAGTGTCTCCATGTTTAAAAGACCTCGGGATATTATTTCATAGAATGTTATCATGATTGTGAATAATACGATCAAAATAATTTCAAAATTTGAGAGCATTTTTTCAAAATAAATTTATTAGAAACTTGGGTTGAATAATTGTTTTTACAGTGTGGGAGTATGCCGAAGTATGTAAAAAAATTTTTTTATACTGGAAGCGCCTCCGATTTATCCAATGCTTTATAATTAAGATTCCTCTGCAATTGATCGTTACAATTGACGCAAAACATAAAAATCCTGGAACTTTGCCGGTGATCTATTATCCATTTATTAGCCGATCTCTTAATAAACCCTATCACACACGTTTTAACTGGTCAACTAAACATATTAGAAAAAATTATTTTTATTGCAATACATCGAACTAAGCAAAAATAAATAACAAGTTCAGGATATGGTCTATGATACATGACGAAATTTCTATTCTAATATACACGATCATTTTTTGTGCGATATTATTTCTAGACATTTGAGAGGGTTATATATATGCATGATAATTATATTCTGTATAAGCTCATAAACACCTGATTAAAATTTTTCAGCGAAGGAAAAAATAATGTGAATATGTATGTGATTCGCATGTCGCACTGCCCCATTCAGTAAGAGTTTTTCTGATGCATTTCAGGTGATCGATCTCACATGACTAGATCATATTATCCGTTTCTGAATTGTTAATTTCCTAAACATATTACTGGAGAGATGATCGGGCTCGTCATTGGTGAGACTTTCTCTCATATCTTCCATCACCGATAATAATATCCTTTATCTTCATAATAGCATCCTATATCATAATAATCCCCTTCATCATACCATACTTCACCCTTTCTGATTTGGAATTCGCCTGAAGAATTAGAGACATTAATTATAGGAATAGGTGCGGTTGATATGCTTACCTCAGCTGAAACCAAGGTATCCGCTTGTGCTTCCAATACATTAGTCTGATCATCTGAAAACTCCTCTTCAGAATCAATATCCTGAATTTGTCTTTTGGGGTTATTAGTGAATTCTATATTTGGCTTTTTGGTGAAGTGATTTATAATAGTTTGAACCTGACTATCAGATAATTCTGCAATAGAGTTCGCAGTATACATTGTGATATACTTGATTTTATCAAATAATTTGTATATGTTTCTTGCTCTCTGAGTTTGTTTATGTATTGTGTTACGTTTAGTGCCAGGAGGAAGGAATTTAGTAAGATTATTATAAATCATATCTTTTGCTTTTTTCTCACCAACTTTATACTCGATCATAAACTCTATGGTCTTTTTATCAAATTCTACAATATAGGAACACCAACACAATAATTCTTTTTGATTAGCTTGAATTGCTTCATCTTTCGCATCCCATACTTCTTGGATTAAGCAGGCTAAATTTTGGAGGATTATCCATATCGGATTTTTCATGACGGGCCATCAAAGAAATTTCAGTCATATGATTTTTCTCAGGTGCTGAAGTAGCCGTGAAATCAAATACATCCTGTACAATATTCTCCACTTCCCTTATGTAATTGAGATTTTTTGTCCTTCGTTACAGAAGATGAGTCCTGTGTAGCTGATTCACATAATAATTTCTTTTCCCTATCTCTGCCTAATTTCATTGTTATCCCTTTTCTTATACACCTCACCTAAGAAAGTGTCCGTCTCCCTTTCCTCCATTGACTTGATGTTTGTGTTATCACTAGGTGTTCCATTTATAGGCTGATCTATTACAGAATCAGAAGCATCTGGCTGTGGTACAGTTGTTTCCTTTGATATCTCTACAGAACATGAGTTCTGCACGTTAGTAACATGCTGTGATTGCTGAGGCCTCGTGAGATTGGAGGAATCGAAATCATGTCTTAGTTTGGCTAATTCGGCTTTAAGCTCAGCACTCTCAGCTGCAATATCTATTTTCTCTAATTCCTTGATTCTGACCTTGTGTTCGGCATTCTCAGCATCACGCCTGGCATTCTCCTCAATAATCCGTCTCAATTTCGCATTCTCATCCTTAAGCTCGGCATTCTTACTCTTAAGGTCATCTTTCTCAGCCTCAAGGTCGGCAATGCTTTGTTTCAATAATTCAAGCTTTGATGACAATTTTTTATACAAGATATGAAATATTCAAAAGTCCATTAGTATATATACATTCTGCCAAGAAATCGCCAAAAAAAATTCACATAACATTCTGACCATCGGTCAGGACTTGAAATTCGTCCCGTGTTCTTTACGAAATGTCTATGAAATCATTAAAATACATGTATATTAATAAGATTAAACGAAGCAATAAATTCTTACACAATATATCTATCTAGCAAATGAGATAATTTGAGCTGTTCTTCCTCAAAAAGCTTTCTTTTCTTTTTTGTGTCCTCCTAACTTGCGAAATCAATCAGGTACACGTCGCTGTTATCAATGCATAGCTACGACTGAAGGTACTACATCTCATTTGCTAATTGCACTTTCTCCAGTAATTTCTTCGTCAACACTTCCTTCAAACTGAGATATGTGGTGAACGGGCGTTTCTTTTGCTGGTCCTATTTACATATTTTTGTTTAGGATCAGAATAATGTATTACACTTTAGAAGTCATAAAAAAAGTATAATATTACATAAAAAATACAACAAAATGTTAGATCTGGATGGATAGTTCAAACGTCACCAGTCTTCACCAGTTTGCCGTCTGATGACAGGCACAAAGCTTGGTGGCCTACCTTTGCGTTGAGGAGGTCACCGTCAGATGACAGGCGTGATGGTCTCCCCTTCGCACTTCCAGCATCATCCGCCATCTGATGACAGGCACGAACGTGTGGGTAGGAGAATTGCGTTGAGGAGGTCACCGTCAGATGACAGGCGTGATGGTCTCCCCTTCGCACTTCCAGCATCATCCATCGTCTGATAACAGGCACGAACGTGTGGGTAGGAGAATTGCGTTGAAGAGGTCACTGTCAGATGACAGGCGTGATGGTCTCCCCTTCGCACTTCCAGCATCATCTGCCGTCTGATGACAGGCACGAACGTGTGGGTAGGAGAATTGCGTTGAGGAGGTCACCGTCAAATGACAGGCGTGATAGTCTCCCCTTCGCACTTCCAGCATCATCCGCCGTCTGATGACAGACACGAACGTGTGGGTAAAATAATTTTAGAGAAGCCATTTGCTTTTTGTATATTATATTATAATTTGTTGTGTAACAACCAGACGGTGACGTAAACATGTGGCGCAATGAGTACTCATTTTATTTTTCTTTTAAGTCATTATAAGCCATTATTGCTACATAACAATTGATCTCTTCTATTAATATTTCTTGCTTTTCGATTTCTTCCTATGATCAGGCAAGCCCCAGAAAAATAAGTTATGAACATCAAATATTTTATATATAAGTAGATCTACAATATAAACATACATGGAATATTGCCATCATCCTTAGAATGGATTTATACTGACTTCTACCATTGAAACTGAATGGAATGACAATGGAGGCGAGCTCGGTTGCTAGAAAACGTCCATCGAGAAGCATGTTTAAGGCATATAGAGTCAGCCTGATTTCTATAGAAGAGTGTCATTAATAACATCACAAACTTACATACTAGCATACACAATATACTCACTAATTGCCTGGGTACAGAACACCTTTATTTTCATAGCAATATTGACGTCACAATTAAGATGATTCCTCAATATCGCTACTAGGTTCAAAAGGTCTGTATGGAGAGCCTTTTTCACGTCATTAATGATGTGATCATCGGAGGCATTTTCAGAGGGACCGGCAACTTCCATATGCCATATGTCAAGACCATCTGAATGTCTTGTTGCCTTTGCATCAACCCGCACAATTCCTGAAAATGTTGATGATTTTATCATTTTCGCAGCACGAGCAAATGACTCTATCCAATCAAAATAAAGATATGCAAAGGTGGTCTCGTAAAACTTAAAGAGTGATGCTACAAGGTAGATGATGTACTTGCGTTTACCAATATTCCGGGGCATGGCTGAATGAACATCGAAGAGGTGAAAACTATTTATTTGCAAATGAGATACAACTGTTAGTATTTCCAGAGAACACTCTTTGGTAGCACAAATATTAACAGTAAACCTACAAATCGAGAAGAACTTTTTCGCAGTATGACTTGAACAACTCATTTCCAGTGTCTGACACATGATCCAGGACTGCCCACCTGAAATCATTCCCGGTTTTCTATAGGTGTAAAATATGCATTCAGACTATGTACAGTATATTTCAGAAATTCTGAGATTGAATGTTTACCTTAAGAGTAGTGTTTATATATTGCTCCATGGCAGGCGTCCATATAGAGGGATTATCATCACGCATGGAAGGCAACTTCCTAACTAGTTCCTCGCCAATTTCCTTTGTCAACTCTGCTGTAGTCATCCCAAATGCGCATATTACTGAGATGTTTTGGGAGTAACTTTTACTAGAAAGAAATATGCACTGTCAGAATATTTCGCAGTTGTTAAGTGATTTGTAGTAAGTGAAAATCAGAACTTACTGCTGAAATTCTTGATTCTCCAGTGGTCATTTGTTAGGTGTTGAAATCAGATGCGTTAATTCCCGATAAATTTGTGAAGGAGATTTTGGTGACGGTAAAGATCCTGATGATTGTAGATGACATTGAAAGACTTCCATCTTCGCGTTAAGACATATTGTGGTCTATAAGCGGTAATAAAATGTGAACATCTAATTCAACACATTTGTGTGCATGTACAGTATACAGTAATTAACTAACCTCAACGGTATCGTGAAGTTTAAAAGATTGACTTTGCATTTTCTTGACGTCAAAAAAATTGCAACAGGCTCCAATAGTAGCAATACCTGCACAGGACTGTTCCGATTTATAAGTATTGTTATTTATTGTATTATCCAATTATAAAATAACAAAAATATCAGCAGTACTATACCTTTAACCATTTGAGATAATTTCTACAAAAAGATTTGATTGGAAGAAGAATATTAACGATCTGATTGGTCTTATCTAAGCTATCAGTGAAAATTGAATAGGCTTGATCGAAATCGACCAACTCTTTCTCAAGATTATCAAGAACATGTCCAATATAATTTTGAAGACTCCAAGTAGATGCTTTCTGTTTCATGAAATAATCATGTACGCTTTGTGCATCTGGTTTAACGAGATATTTAAAGTGTGTGGTCGAAAAAAGACACGATTCACGCTCTACGATGGAATTTTCTTGTGATTGTAGCATAGTTTATTTATAAGTTCTTTTTAATGAAGTGATAAAAGTGAAATATTTTATAATGCGAGTACATGATACGATTGATACGCGTCTTACGCATCGCTAGGAATGTTAACGATCTCAGGGAGACGGTCTAAATCACGCACGATCCAATCATAAGACCGATCTCTGTCCAATCTGAAGGTTAAGATTGGATCGAATCAGATTGGACCGGATCGATCCTTAAGACTGATCCTAAATCAATTTTATATAAAATTACACAACGCGTAATAACGCGTCATAATGTTGATCATTTTTAGCCTAACCAGCCCAATTTTTTTTGGCGTAATATTGAATATGTCGTGTAAAATAAATTCTCCAAATAATGATAATGAATCTATATATTCCAGGGTTGGCCCAATGGCCAATGGATTCAATAAACCAAAAGCTAATGGATCTATGGGAGACATTGGATCTATTGAGATCATTAATTTAATTGGTTAATTTATTATATATAAATTTAATTAATTTTATAACTCATAATTCATCAACCACGAATGCTAGAAATATGGTTTTATATTTATTTTAATCCTTAAACCTTGGAGTATATTCAATAAAAATTTGAAATTGGATTACTAATACCAATTTTGCGCAATTTATTAATTTAC